GATATCTTTCACAGAAAATGAGATATATAGGCTCAAAGTGGACGATCCGGGTGTCGTTCTATTAGAGGTTTTACGGTAATTCTGAACTGATATTCCAGAATTCAAAATTTTCGAAAACTACAAATCCATGAACATTTCCGGATGCGAAAATTCCAAATCAAAGACATCGAACAATATTGCCAAGTCGGTTTTCTCTCGATTCCGAATTATATCTTTCTGGAATTTTCTTAAATTTAAGATTCCTCCAAGTTCTTGGACTCACCTGTATCTGATTATTAATCCTCATCATCTGAGCCATTCTTCCATAATTGGATTTTTTCATTTCATTAACATAATAGTCATGTAGATCATCAGCCAAAATCTCTTGGAATTTTTCGGATATTCTGAGAATTTCTCCTTGAAATCGTTTTCCGACATAATGGAAACATAATTGAGAGAGCATGAAAGATAATTCGATATCTGATGGTTCCAATTGAATCATTTCCCGAGTTAGGGAATCCAAACGAATTTCAGTGTTTATTTCCATGAAACTGAAAATTTTTCCAAAATTTACAGACTGCCTGGAATCAAAATTTTGAAAAATTGAAAAATTTCTGAATTTCCAAACACCTTAATCTCTGGAATTTTCGTAACAAAATTGATTGCTTTTAATTTTTTGAAAAATTTTGATTTTTCTGTTTTTCAACGATAAATTTTCAGAATTTTTTGGAGTTTTCTGAATTTTTCGAATTTTCAAACTAAGAAATTTCTAATCTTTTTTCTGAAACTTTGGAATATTTGGAACTTCGCAGATTTCAGTTTTCTATAAATATTGAATACAAAAATATCTGCAACTTTCGAAAAAAATAGATTTTTTAATTTCTAGAAAATTTACAAACTTTCTGATTTTCACTATTTTTTATCGTTTTTGAATTTTGAATTTCCCGAAGTTCCCAGGCATTCTAAGCTGCGCCCACTTTTTTCCTATTTTCAGACGATAGCTCGGAAAGTAGGTCAAGTTTTGGAATTTCGGCGTCAAACTTACAAATTTGAGATTTTCATGGAAATAGACATAACAAAATTAAAAAGATTTTTCAGGTGGATAGGAAATTCCAATAAAGGGTTTTTTTTGGAAAATTTTTGAAAATTCTGAAAAACATGGACCAGATTTTTTTTTGGATTTTTCTGAAAATCTCAGAGTACTTAACAAAAATAGAGCTTTACTTTTGTAG